GTATGAAATAATACACAGAAATACGGACAGCAAGCTTGATTAATGGAACAAGTATTCTAAATAGTATTCTGGCAGTGTAATATCAAGTATCTACAAAATATGCATGGTTTCCGACTGAGCTTCCTTTCCAAGTCTTCCACGTTTCACGTATTATAAAGTTTCGCGATACCAGTTGTCATATCTTGTTTGAATAATTTCATTCATTTCACTGGCGAAGAGTAATTCCGATTGATAATTTACAGCTATCAGTGCCCACAGTTCGACTTTCATTTTCTCTGTACACTTCATGCTTCAAGTTATTTGCCTTCCATAATTTTAGTTTGTTTTTAGGAGCTTGCTGCCTAAGGTCGCGGACTGTCCGGCAACCACTGGAGCGTACACCAGTGTTGCCAGTATACACTTCTCGGGTCACTGCCCAAGGTTGCCACTGCGGTCGCCGCTCCAGTCGCCTAACCAGTGATTCCAACCAATCTCACTAGAAGGCGCACTGTCACCCAAGGCGTCGGTTTTCAATGGCCCATGCACTCGCCTCCTGGCGACTACGTCCACTTCGTTCTCGTCAAATCGTCACTTTGTAAGCATGGCAGCACGTGACATCTCGTACGACGAGTGTTACTTATGGGGGCCGATATCCTTGCAAGTGCCCTCACCTGCCTTCTCCCAACCCCGTAGGAGAATGGCTGATGGCTCTACGTCTGCCATTTATCAGCTTCACTCGTTTGACTCAAGGCAGCGGCCAGTATGGCCTAAAGGGGCAGGTAGTTATCGTGCCGATCAACGTTGCCCACGCTGTGCAGTGGTGGCCGCGGAAAGTACCCGACAACGCTGCCTTCGACAACACTATAATAATACCTGTATGCAAAAGAATTACATGCCAATCAGCTTGCTCTCCGTAGTATACAAGCTTTTTATAAAGATGATTGCTAACAGAGTTAAGAAAACATTAGAGTTTAATCAACCAACGGAACCAGCAGGATTTCGAACAGGCTACTCAACAATCAACCATATTCATACTATCAATCAGGTAATACAGAAATGCTCACAATATAGCCAACCTCTATACATAGCCTTCATAGACTACGAGAAGGCGTTTGATTCAGCAAAACTATCAGCAGTCATGCAGACACTGCGGAATCAGGGCGTGGATGAAGCATATATAAACATCCATGAAGAAATCTACAGGGGATCATCTGCTACCATAGTGCTTCATAAAGAAAGCAACAAAATACCGATGAAGAAGGGTGTATGGCAGGGGGATACAATCTCCGTAATGATATTTAACGCGCGCTTACAGGAGGTTTAATGATTTCTACAGTGGGAACAGTTAGGGATAAGAATTGATGGAGAGTACCTTAGGAACCCGCGCTTCACCGATGACATTGCATTGCTGAGTAACTCAGGGGACAAATTGCATCTCATTATTACGGAGTTAGACAAGGAGAACAGAAACGTGGGTCTTAAAATTAATCAGCAGAAAACGAAAGTAACGTACAACCACCTCGCAACAGAGCAGCGTTTCGACATAGCTAATAGTCCACTTCAATTTGTACAAACACTATCTCTACCTAGGGCACGTTATAACCGCTGAGCCGAACCACGAGATTAAAGTAACTAGAAGAATAAGAATGGGGTGAAGCACATTTGCCAAGCAGTCTCAAATTATGACAGGTAGATTGCCACTATCCTTCAAGAGGAATGTATATAACAGCTGTATCTTGCCGGTACTTAGCTACGGAGCAGAAACCTGTAGGCTTACAAAGAGGGTTCAGCTTAAATTTAGGACGAAGCAGCGAGCAATGTAAAGAAAAGTAGTAGATGTAACCTTAAAAGACAAGAAGAGAGCAGAGTGGATTAGAGAACAAACGGGGGTTAAGTGTATCATAGTTTAAATCAAGAAGAGGAAATGGACATAGGCCGGGTGGTTAGCGTGTTGACATGATAACTGCTAATAAATAAAGGTCTCTAACTGGATTCTCAGAGAATGCAAGCGGTTTAGGGGGAGGGAGGCTAGGTGGGTAGATGAGATTAGGAAGTTTGTGGGTATAAATTGGCAGCAGACAGCAAAGGACCGAGTTAACTGGCCGAAGATGGAGAAGGGCCTTGTCCTGCAGTGGACGTAGTCAGGATGATGATGACGATTATGGTGATGATGATGATTATGATGATGATGACACTTAGAGTATTATGGGCGAGCAATAACTGACGGGCATTAACGCAATGAGGAGAAAACGTTATTAGACGAATGGCTCGGTTTTGAATGGCTTGCGGGGACGTAAATTGGCTATTGTATGTGCTGCCCCATGGCTCAATGTTGAAGTTAAAATGAAAATGAATCATAGAATAATAAAGTTATATAAAAGTAGAGAAGGATGAATGCAATCGAGCTTTGAAGAAAGCATGTATACTGAAGACCATTCTGTTTTTAACGTTAGAGACTGGTAGATGAAATTTAAGGTGGTGATCAAGTTCGACATTTAAAGATGTACAATGGTTAACGGGACAGATAGTGTAACTGTTTATGAAAATGTTTATGTTCGCCACACGCGACCATTTAGCGGAAAAATTGGGTGAATCTTTATGATAACGTTACCGTCTAAACAATATTCAAACGACAACCCAAAGGCTGTCGTTTGGCTGCACCTTTTAAAATTGTTCGTTTTTCGAAAGATATATATATAAAAAAGCTGTGTTTATCTTAAAGTAAAAAATCGCGATGTATTTGATTCAAATTATTACCCTCTTTCATCATCTATTTTATATAACAACTTTTGCTTTCGTGCTCTACAGTACTAACCGAAAGAGTAACATTAAGTTTGACGTAAAAACGGCCGTGTTTTAATCACAACACATATTATAGTTTATATCAAGCATTGTGCTATTTACACTAGTTTCGCTTTCTGATATCCTGAATAAAAATATACGCATCTCCACGAAGCGAATGATGACGAGTGGGCGGTACTACGTTGTGAGGTACATAATATCTGCGTTGATGTCACCAGTTATTACAAAGAGTGGACGGATGAACGGACAGATGAACCAGCGAATGAATGGACTTACGTAAAGATGAATGGACAAATGAATGGACGTACAGACACACGTACGGATTCACGGACGAATAGATGCACTGACGGATGAACAAGTGGATGGCGCAGATTATCATGTGTCGTGCTAACATATAGTTGATTGATATGTACATTAAGTAGGTTTTTAAACACTTGTTTGAGTTTTTTGTTCTGCAGCTGTTCAGTTTTGGTTTCGGTTTCGTCGAGCGTCACCGTCACTAACAAGGCTTGTCCCAAAGAAAATTCTCGCCCAAAACAGGCTGTACGTGTCCTCTTAATGACATCAGCTAATCCGCCATTCCCTACTGGTGAAACTGTAGGTATACATTGCACAGCTGTGAAAGTGAAAGACGCATCCTGCCAAATTTGACATCAGTGTCAACGGCAGTTAAAACGAAGATATAGTGACTAGTGCACCGCGAACAAGAAAAGCTCTAGGAAAGAAACTGTGGTATAGGCAATGTTCCTTGTTCTAAGGAATAAGTTATCACCATCTTCGCATCAATGTACTGAGCCCAAAACGACCACAATAAAGAGTACTTTTCGCAAAAATTATGGTGTCCATATTGTTGCTATTGACTTACGGATGGTTGCAGTCAATTAGCGAAAAATTGCGATAGAAGAAACTAATGGTAAAATCACTTGGAGGACGCTCGAGAGTCGCCTTCAGGAATAGAACATGATATCATGATTGACGAATTCGGATAGTCTTCAGCACGATTCAGACGAAGACCAAGGAGAAACGCAGAAAATTTTTCTAAATCGTGCTGAAGCCTATCTGAGTATGGGCATACTCGCTGAAGTGAAAGTGCTCTGGGAGTATGATTCAACCTTGTAAAAGTGACAGTCGCAAATGTCAACCTAGTATCGTTCCTCAGTTAGTGCCTCGGCCATGCCACAATTTAGCGAATGTCTGTGCGGGTAACATAAGTCGTTTTAAAATATCCTTTAGTGCTCACTGAAAGTACGATTGTGCACGGCCAACTACATTATAATTCTTTCTTTGGGGTGAATTAGTGAGGGACCCGCTTCTCGTTTGTAAGGCAACACTTGACGCAGCTCAGCAGCTCACTTTGTAGATGCTTTTGCTGATGGGGATATATGAATGTCTCTGAGCACTTTCTAATGAGCGGACGTTCAAGTCGTGGCACTTTTTGGTTGTTTTCATGCCCGGCGCAATTACGGGCTTCTGCCATGCCATACTTGCGCAAATGAGACTCTTCCAACTACTTGATATTGTAGTGACTTATATGGGGGCAGCGTTAGGACAAATACAAGAACAACAAAAGGTGCGACATGTGCTGCCTTTTTTCTCGTTCTTGTTTTCGTCCTAACGCTGCCCCATACAACTCATTATGAACCCTAACCAGCAAGTCCACATTTCCGTTATTCTATACGATAATAATGTAGTGTTGTTGTGGCTATGTTGAAGAGCCCCTCCTTGCCACAAGGATGGTCGGACTTGCTTTAGAGTATAGCAGAAGTTTTATTATTTACTGTATTTGTACGTTTACCATTTTTTGGTTAACGGGAAATACTAATTTTATACACGTGATTCTCTACGTTCAGTGTAGCTGCTCCACCTTAAGGCAAACAGTGCTTCAAGTAGCTGCGGAAAGAAATCTTTAACCCTTGTCGAGTATTGCAGGTACTCAATTTGAGACATCAAGAACTACGAAACATAAGCGTAAAACTGTGCCGTTGGTCGCAACACGAGACTGACGCTAAGAGTTAATTGTTAAAAGACTTAAATTTTGCAATTATCTCATGCATAACGTCATCAGTACAAGCAGCAGCATCAACAGATCGTGAAGCTTCTCAAGTACGTATATAACCTAACAGATGAGTAGTGAGTACTTCAGTAATTTGCAGAATTGTTATTTATAATTTAGTGAGCCCTGTGCCACTGTATTTACTGCACGCAGGCATTTTAGAATAATTTAGCTGGTCTTTGCGATAAGTACATAATCTTCTTTCCTTGCTGCCACTTTAGAAGTCGACAGAAAGGTGACAACTGGACAGATAATCAGTAAATGATTTGACCGGGGTCGAATTACGCACGCGACTTGTAATCTCGAAGAAGAAGCTCAAGCGTACTCCAAAATTTTACTAAAGTCATCTTATTCCCTATTTTCGAATCCAGCAAAATTTTTACTCATCGTCAACAAGTACTACAACACAGCGAATCAAAATGTCACTGGTTACGACGTTGTCAAACGTGCAGATAGTATTCGTAAACGGCTTGGTGTACAATTATTTTGATCCCATCATTCTGTTGTTAATTTCTTAAGTGCTGCTGGAGTGGTAGTGCTGCTCTTACACTAGAGAGTATCAAGATGTTTTTATAACGTTCTAAAGATTACAACGGGACATTGACAAACAGCTTGTTACGAAGAAATTCAGGTGTTGATGAAATATGCGTCCTTGTTCTGAGCCAAGAAAAAAAGAAGCTTTCGCCGTGAGCAAAAAGCTGACGAAGACGCAAATGTAGAAGCTGCGTGCCATTTGCATTTTCGTTTCCTTGCTGCTCAATTTAGGCCTATCAGAGAACAACGGTCGCAGTGTGTGTGTGTGTGTGTGTGTGTGTGTGTGTGTGTGTGTGTGTGTGTGTGTGTGTGTGTGTGTGTGTGTGTGTGTGTGTGTGTGTGTGTGTGTGTGTGTGTGTGTGTGTGTGTGTGTGTGTGTGTGTGTGTGTGTGTGTGTGTGTGTGTGTGTGTGTGTGTGTGTGTGTGTGTGTGTGTGTGTGACAGAGAGAGAGAGAGCATGTCTGCTTACGGATATCGCTCTTGCATTCACCTGTTGAAGGGAGCCATAACGGTCCCTACTCAGTTTTGGTTAGCATAGTATTTATTTATTTATGAATACTGCAACCCTAACATAAAGTTTTGGCAGGGTGGATATACATTTGATAAGTTTACAAATCGGCAAAGAAATAAATATAAAACACGTAAGGCATTTACACACTTTCATAACAAAAAAAAAGAACAGTGGTTTGTAATAAACCGGCATAAGAATGGGGACAGTGATTGAAGTAAACAACAGGAGCACATGTCATAGAAATTAGACACTCGCTGCTAGAGCTGCGCCGCAAAAAGGTTCAAGGATGACTGGGAAACAACTTCGTTACTAAGGTTATCCCATTCGGTAATTGTCCTAGGGAAGAACGAATACTTGAATGTGTTATTACGGATGGAAAATGGGGTTATTGTAAAGGCATGCCTCTACCTTGTGGTATATACAGTGGACAAATGAAGTATATGTGATAAGTCTAACTTAAAATAACCTTTAACTAACTCAAAAAAAAATTTCAATCTTAGTGAATTGACTAAAACAATATTTTTTGGAATGCACTTAGGTTTACTCAATTTAAGCATCTCCACTCTACTGAAACTAATACTATAAAATACTGAAAAAAAGAAAGTCATTTCTGAGTAATTCTTACCCTTCGTACTCGTAGGTGTGGATGCGGACGCTTCTGTGATCCGGTAATGTGGAAAGAAAACAACTCAGTATTAGCAAGAGACAAAAAAATAGAAATGGTGGTAACGCTGGGAGTCTCATTGCAGGGGTAACTTCTTCTGTAAAACATTAAAGCAATCATCTTCGTGTATTGACAGCAGGGAATTGTATGCAAGAAAAAACAGCCAGGCCTGCGCGGTACGCTCAGCGCAGGCAAAGCAAAATCTCAAAGACCATCCCTTCAGAACCTTTTCTAAACAGTTTTTTGGTAATTGCTGCAAACACATTTTCAGTGTACCAATTACGCCATAAATATTCATATTTTTGTGTTGAAGGCCACTTTTCATTATGCTGTCCTTCGTCTTTCTTCGGAGAAGCGTAGTGTCCGCTACACATTTAAAAGGAATGTTGTGCAAATTTTAAACACCATGCATATCTTTCCGTACTGCAAGTACTATGATTTTCTATCTATCTATCTATCTATCTATCTATCTATCTATCTATCTATCTATCTATCTATCTATCTATCTATCTATCTATCTATCTATCTATCTATCTATTTATCTATTTATTTATTCATCTATTTATTCATCTATTTATCTGTCTATCTATCTATCTATCTATCTATCTATCTATCTTTCTGTCTGTCTGTCTGTCTGTCTGTCTGTCTGTCTGTCTGTCTGTCTGTCTGTCTGTCTGTCTGTCTGTCTGTCTGTCTGTCCTTCGCACCACGTACGTCTTGGTGCTTTCATGATCACCCCCTTAACTCAGGGTAAAGAAAGATTACTATGGGAGGGTAAAATGGTTTTACGAATACAGCTCGCAGGTCATCACATGAATAGTGTCACAGTATTGTCACGTAAGTCATCAAACACTTCATGAAAAATCCTCAGGCCTGCGTGAAACTTGCAGCACAGTCCCAGCCAAAGCTGGAAGAACGGCTTTTCACAGCCTTTTCTAAACACTCTTTGAGTAACTGCGACGAGCACACTTGCAGAGTACCCACTAAGCTATAAAAAATCATAAATTTTGTGTAGTAGGTCGGCATCTACTACGCAATCTTTCGGCATTTTTCATGAAGCGTGGTATTCACTGCAGATACGAGGAATTCAGTTGGTTGGCTGGTTGGTTGGTTGGATGGACCCTATTGGCTCAAACCACCATGAGGGATCGACCTATAATTTCACTGAAAGGAGGTTTGGGGGGAAAAGTGGTGACGGGGAATGCCCTAATGAAGTTGTTTAGTGCAAAATATTTGTGCAGTGGCTGAAGATGATGAGAAATTAAGCCTGAAGCTCAGTTATTAGCTGGACAATAACAAGCTTTTGTAATGGGATGGAGAATTGGACGACCTAGTCATTACGCAATTCGGATTATATGAGGCCAAGTTAATAATCCTTCGCTGTTTTAAAACGGTTTATTATACATACCAGAGCAATTCTTTTCGCAACATCTAGCCTGCATAAGGCAAGTTTGCAAAGAAGTTTTTTTTTCTCCATTCGTGTGATAGTGGTTATGGACACCGGTGGTGGCGGTGACGGAGCACAACTAGCGCAAGAGACTGTTGTTGTGATAGCATAACAGCAAATTAGCACCTGATTCATATATTATTGCATACTTTCTCGCGCCGAAACGATGACAGAAATCATAATAGGGTTAGAATTTCGCTTAAGTAGGTGCCACATATACGTTGCCGTTTTTCACTCTATGCTAAGTAATATCATCAGAAGGTGATTACGACTGTGTTGGATGCTTAAGGAGGCTAGCGATACCCTATGTCATAAGTAAGTGTTGACTCTCAGAAAACTCACCAGGTGTGGCAAGTACTGCGCAAATCACTAAACGTTTCTTTTCCTCAATGCCAATTATTTTATTGCTGTATATGGTTTTCAGCTAGTCGGTTTGAAGGCATTTGTTAATTAGGTAAGAGATACCGAAAAGCGAGATATTTCAGTTCCCAACGCAGGCATTTGTTTCCTAGGGTAAAACTCTCTTCATAAAGTTATCACTTTCGTACAAAGTTGATCAAACAGCTGTTGTTGTGTTGTGCGTATGAAACAACACTGTAATAATACCTATACACAGATGTTTGAAATGATACACAGAAATACGGACAGCAAGCTTCATTCATGGAACAGGTATTCTAAAGAATATTCTGGCAGTAATATTAGGTATCTAGTAATTATGCATGGTTTCCAAATGAGCTTCTTTTTCAGATCTTTCATGTTTCACAAATTATGAAGTACCACGATACCAGGTGTCATATCTTGTTTGAACGATTTCATTTACTTCACTGGCGAAAAGTAATTCCAATTGATCATTTACAGCTATCAGCGCCCACAGTTCGACTTTCATTTTCTGTGTACACTTCATGCTTCGAGTTGTTTGCCTTCCATAATTTGAGTTTGTTTTTAGGAGCTTGCTGCTTAAGCTCGCGGCCTGTCTGGCAACTGCTGGAGCGTACACCAGTGTTGCCAGTATACACTTCTCGTGTCACTACCCAAGGTTGCCACTCCGGTCGCCGCTCCAGTCGCCTCTCCGGTGATTCCAACCAATCTCACTAGAAGGCGCGCTGCCACCCAAGGCGTCGGTTTTCAATGGCCCATGCACTCACCTCCTCGCGACTACGTCCACTTCGTTCTCGTCACTTTGTAGGCATGGCAGCACGTGACAACTCGTACGACGAGTGTTACTTATGGGGGCCGATATCCTTGCAAGTGTCCTCACCTGCCTTCTCTCAGCCCCGTAGGAGAACGGCTGATGGCTCTACGTCTGCCATTTATCAGCGTCACGCGTTTGACTCACGGCAGCGGCCAGTATGGCATAAAGGGGCAGGTAGTTATCGTGCCGATCAACGTTGCCCACACTGTGCAGTGGTGGCCGCGGAAAGTACCCGACAACGTTGCCTTCGACGTACACATCAAGCGGCGGCTCGTTAATAACCCTTCCTATACTGAAATCGTCTCGTCAAGAAACGCACCGGGCACCTCCGAGCAAGCTCTTCTAACCTCATTCAATAACTGGATATAGCAGTGAATTTTTACGTTAGCTGCTCCTGAAACAAATATCTAATGGTACGTCACCTGTCAAATATATTTTGTTAGGTCAACTAAGTGAAATAATTGATCTACTTTCAGTGGCTGCACAAATTTTAGGTATTCTATCTGAGGTAAATATTTGCAGCAAAAGCTTCTTGTAGCAGCTTTGTTACCTACAGATACAGAGCAGTATAGGAACTGAATGCATTGCAGGTGAGAAGAACGCACTCACCTTTACTTGCTGTTGGTGCGTCTTCACATCCAGGAACATCTGTCAGAAGTAGAAGGTATACAAACAGATTAGGCATAATCATGCAAATCTTCGAAATCATAAATTATTGTTATATATATATATATATATATATATATATATATATATATATATATATATATATATATATATACCAAAAACAAAAGTGATGCTGGGTCCGGGAAAGATATTATCTGTCTAGGGAAGAAGACGCACGTACGAAGTGATTTTAACGACGTTTCGGCCGTGGTTCTGGCCTTCATCAGAACATCAGAAGGACCCACGGCCGGACCCACAGCCGAAACGTCAATAGAATCACTTCGTACGTGCGTTTTCTTCCCTAGACGGATATAACTATATATATATATATATGTATAGATATTTATATATATGTTATTACACAAGGTAAGGTAACTTAATGGGGGGTTTTTAACGGGCCCTGAGTCCGCGATCGCAGTATAATGATGATGATCTCCACCACCATGGCTCGTACCCACTCAGGGGAATCGCAGTGGAGGCAACGTCGTCTTCCTTCTCTATCCGCGCTTCCCTTGTTTTTCCTGGTAGTGATACACCATATCATTCCTCCCGTCTCAGACGAAGCCCTCTGGGCGAGTCATTCTTGCATCCTTCGAGTAAACGGCTTCAGGCGGGCAACATCCGTCACCTCTGTCTTGCATGAACGTCGGCCACTAGTGGTGACACGTGCAATTTCATAGTTGACCTCGCTAAGACGACGGAGTATCACAAAAGGACTGGCATAGTGTGCATGTAGCTTTTGGCTCAAGCCACGTCTGCGTATTGGCGTCCACACCCACACTAGATCACCGGGGGCATAGGTTACATTCCTGTGTTGACTGTCATAGCGAGTTTTGAAGGACTCTTGCGCTGCCAGTGTACGTAAGCAGGCAAGTCGACGTGTTTCTTCTGCACGACACAAAGTTTCCGCAATTGTTAAATCGTCATGGACGACAAAAGGAAAGATAGTGTCCAGCGTATGTCGAGGGGAGCGAGCGTAGAGCAGATAGAAAGGGCTGTAGCCTGTCGTTTCGTTTTTCGACGTGTTGAAGGCATACGTGATGAATGGTATTACTTCATCCCAGTTTTTGTGGACGGAGGTGACGTGCATTGACAACATGTTGATCAACGTTCGGTTTGTGTGCTCAATGAGGCCGTTAGTTTGTGGATGATGCGCAGATGAGTGTCGGAACTTGGAGGCACACAAACGAAGTAATGATTCGACAATATCCGCGGTAAATTGTCGTCCACGGTCACTTATTATCACACGAGGAGGTCCGTGTCGGAGGATGACTGAATGCAACAGGAACTCCGAAACCTGGACTGCCGTGGCGGAGCATAAGGCAGCCGTCTCGCAGTCAGGTAGTCGGCGCATACAATTATCCACCGGTTACCTTTTGAGGAGCGTGGAAATGGTCCCATCAGATCAATGCCGACCTTTTTAAGGGGAACCTGGAGGCTTTACAGGTTGCAGGTGACCAACTGGACCCGAGGAGGGCCGCTTGTGGCTCTGGCACTGCGTACAGCTGGCCACGTAGTTCTGAATCGTTTTGCTCATTTTCGGCCAATAAAACCGCTCTTTGTGCGACTAAGTGTTCGTGCGGTGCCTAGATGGCCAGAGGTGTGGTCATAATGCGTGATACGCAGAACAGACGTTTGGAGGGACGCAGGAACAACCAGCAGAAAGCGGGCGCCCACCGTGGACAAGTTTCTCTGGTAAAGAAGACCATTTCGGACGCAGAATCGGCCTTCGCTTAATGAATTTCTCGCTCCAGGGAAGAGAGCTTTTAAGCTTGGGTCATTACGCTGCTCAGCGGCGAAGGTCACGACATCGGGAAAGCCAGACGACACAGAAGTGATAAGGTGGTCAAAGTTATCGGCTTCACAATCTGTCGATGGTAGTGGCATTCTGGAGAGGCAATCTGCATCAGCGTGTAGACAGCCAGTCTTGTATGAGATGGTGAAGACATGTTTTTGCAAACGAATGGCCCATTGTGCGAGGCGGCCGGATGGGTCACGAGGGTTGACCAGCCAACACAGGGAATGGTGATCTGTGACGATAGTGAACGGGCGACCATAGATGTATGAGCGAAACCGTTGCACGGCAAAGACTACCGCGAGGCATTCCTGTTCGGTCATTGTGTAGTTGCGTTCAGGCTTGCTTAAAGAACGACTTGCGTACGCCACAACGTGTTCCTTCTTGCCAGAACGCTGAACGAGAACGGCACCGATACCGATGCTACTTGCGTCTGTGTGAATTTCCGTGGGCGACGAAGGATTGAAGTGCCGATGTATTGGCTGCGAAGTTAACAAACACTTCAGCTTGTGAAAAGCGGCATCACACTCGGAGGTCCACTGAAACAGGCTGTTCTTGCGTAAAAGGCTCGTCAGGGGGTGAACGACATCCACAAACTTGGGTACGAACCGGCGGAAATATGAGCAGAGCCCAATGAAGCTACGCAGTTGTTTCACAGATTTAGGACGCTCGAACGATTCAACCGCCGCTGTCTTTTGTGGGTCAGGTCTAATGCCATCTTTGTCGACGAGATGTCCTAACACCAATGTTTGTCGCTTGCCAAAGTGGCACGTTTTTTAATTCAATACAACGCCTGCTTTTTCAATGCAGCTCAGCACTAGGTCTAGGCGAGTGTTGTGCTCCTCAAACATACGTCCAAAAATTACGACATCATCAAGGTAACACATGCATATCTGCCATTTTAAACCACGCAATATAGAGTCCATAAATCTTTCGAATGTCGCAGGAGCATTACATAATCCGAATGGCATAACGTTGAACTCGTAAAGTCTGTAGGTTGTAACAAATGCCGTCTTTTCTTTGTCAGCTGCGCGCATCGGAATTTGCCAGTAACCTGATCTCAGGTCGACAGATGAAAAGTAGGACGCGGAATGCAGGCAGTCTAGAGCGTCATCGATGCGCGGCAGTGGATAGACGTCTTTCTTGGTAACAGAATTCAGTCGGCGGTAATCAACGCAAAATCTCCACGTACCATCCTTCTTCCTCACTAGAATGACGGGAGCAGCCCACGGACTTGCCGATTCCTGTATTATTCCATTTTCCAGCATTTCTTGGACTTGCTCGTTGATGATCTTGCGCTCCGATGGTGCCACTCGGTAAGGTTTCTGCCTAATGGGATGCGCCGACTCGGTGTGGATCTGATGACGTATCCGGGACACTGGTATAAAGGACCTTTGGCTATGTTTAGAAAAATCGAACACTTTCGAGTGCTTAGATAGAACGTCGAGCAGAGTATGACGTTCGCTTTGGTCAAGTGACTTGCTGACAATTTGTAGCAATGGGGCATCTTCTGAACCTTCTAAGCCTAGATGTTCATTTTGGCTTGTAGCATCAAGAAGCGCAACCAGCGTCGTACATGATTCGGGTCTAAATACTGCAAGTTTCATGCCACCTGGCAGAATTGCAGCCTCCATGGAACTGTTCATTGTCCACACACCTGCCCATCCATCAACGACTGGCACTATACAATGGGGAATGAGAATGTTCTTTTTCAGGCATGCCAAGGAAATCGGTTCGAGCGTGGCGTCAAACGTGCCACAGTTGTTGCTGGAACATGTCACGGGAACACACACGGCAGAAAATGCAGGAGCGACTGTGTCCACGGAGACGAAAAAGATGCATTCCTCCGGAGAGGAAATTTCCAAGAGCGCCGTTGGGAAAGTACCGTGTATTGAAAGATGCCCACTTCTGCAGTCTACAGTTGCCCCACACACAAACAAGAAGTCAATACCCAAGATAACGTCATGTGTAGACCGCGGACTAACCGCAAACTCTGTGAAAAACACCTTGCCACACAGCGAGACGTCCACAGTACAATATCCCACCGGACACAACACGTCACCACTTACACCACGAAATGTCACCCTACGGTTCAGGCAAAACATCACTTTTGGCCCTAGCAGGTTTTTAAAATTTACACTCATCACCGAGACTGTCGCGCGTGTATCCACAAGTGCCATAGTAGCCACTCCATCGACAACTACATGAACTTTGTTCTTCAACATAAACGCTGACGGGGGTGTATCTGTAGATAGCACCTGTGATCTCGCGGCGTCACCCCCGCTGGCCGCACCGACTAGTTTTCCGGCGGCGGTGTACGTGCCCGTCGCTGTGGCGACGGCGATCGTGGAGCACGGGGAGCTGGAGGTGGCGTCAAACTTCGATCAAAGGCTGGCGATGGGTAGTGTGACCCGGTAGGTGCGCGTGTTTTTCGTGACGTGGAGAGCGGATGGTCGAAAGGTTGGTGAGACATGTGCCAAGACTGTCGCTGATACGGACGAGGGTCACAAAAACCTGCAATGTGACCCGGGACGCTACAGTTGTAGCATACCCGAATTGGTCGAGGGGCACGTGGCTGCTCAGAGCAACGACTCCTCTCGGAAGGCTTGGGATAGTGGTGCCGCCCTTCGGGGGCACTGTAGACAGGCGATGTTGGGTAAACAGGCGGGCGAAAACTTCGCTCGTAGTTGGGAGGTGGTTGACGGGGAAATGCCGCGCGAGAGGTACGGGGATCGATACCCCGCACCTCCACCAAATTATTACACAAGGTAAGGTAACTTAATGGGGGGTTTTTAATGGGCCCTGAGTCCGCGATCGCAGTATAATGATGATGATCTCCACCGCCATGGCTCGTACCCACTCAGGGGAATCGCAGTGGAGGCAACGTCGTCTTACTTCTCTATCCGCGCTTCCCTTGTGTTTCCTGGTAGCGATACCCCGTATCATTATATATATATATATATATATATATATATATATATATATATATATATATATATATATATATATATATATATATATATTGCTCTTTTTTAGCTTACGTTGTTGCGCCTACTTTTGTAATTTTCCAATCTCCAACTTGGTTCAATACTTGAAACTAAAGTGTCGACAGAACTCGGATGAATTGGGTAAAGTTAAGCTTGAGTGATTGCTTCTACAATTTACGCCTGATAGTTTTACTATTCTTATAAAAGCCCACAGTCAAAGTATTCATTTATTGAAATATTGCGTTTTACTGGAGGTTTTTGCTTGCAATTTTTATACGCTGTGTTTTCCGTAACCCGTACTGTGACGCATTTTGAATCCGTTTGTGCTACTGCCACGTAATACCTGCAAACTTCTAACTCTCATTTTCCTGCATTACCGTTGTGGTCTAGAAGCTAAGGTACTCGGCTGCTGACCCGCAGGTCACACGATCGAATTCCGGCTGCGGCAGCTGCATTTCCGATGGAGGCGTTAATGTTGTAGGCCCGTGTGCTCAGATTTGGGTGCACCTTAAAGAACCCTAGGTGGTCGAAATTTCGGGAGCCCTCCACTACGGCATCTCTCATAATAATATAGTGGTTTTGGGACGTTACACCCCACATGTCAATCAATCAATCTCATTTCTCACGTAACTATCTGTCTATATTGCACGTTTTCTTTCTCTTGGAATCCCCTTATTCAGCCTTAATGACCACCAGTTGTCCTGCCTACATCTTACGTGTCTTGTCCATGCCCATTTCTACTTTTTGATGTCAACTATGATGTCCCTAGTACCCGTTTGTTCCCTGACCAACTCTAATCTCTTCCCGTAACGTTAGCTTATTTTTATCATTTTGCTTTATATTGTTAGCCTCATCAACCAAAATTTCAGCTGAACCATGTTAATAAGCCTTCCGAAGTTTGCTCCGTTAGTTAATACGGGTAAGATGTTTCTCATCAGCACAATAAATATTCGTCGATGTCAGTCACTCTTAAGCCAGCTAGGCCGTTTCATCTCGTGTAATGCCCATTGCAGTCTTTATAAACATTATACTTAACGGTTTACTTCAGGGATTTCATCATGAAAAGAGAGCAATATTCAATTAGGAGACGTTTAGTAGGCGTTTAGGTATTATTGTTGTGGGGTGGATTCGAGTGCAGTTTCAGTTACGCATGTGTCTGTACACTATAAACTTGAGAAGCATCAATGCTGACATCTGTCAACAACAGTTTTTCCGCATAGGTTCATGGAGCAAGTTGCCAAAAGTGAACCCCTTTGTGATTCTTACGAAAATACCAAGTTTAGAAAATATATCACTCGTCCTTATTGGTCGCTATGCTGTGGGAGATACTATTAATAGGCTATGTGGTCTGCCATATTCAATCGAACCTAGTGACGTTACATTCTAATAAAAAGTGCCAGTTTTCTTAGCTGGATCCATCATGCTTTCAGATAAATGGCTGGCTGTATGCCGCACCACATGCTATCGTAATTTCGCAGCGTGGCGCCATGGCCGTGGCTTGCTGTGTGTCGTAGATTGATAAACATTTACCCCATGAACCGCCACAAGCTCAATCAGTGTTCAAGAATCTTGTCGGGATGGTTAATAACGGAAAGTAAAGCACGCTCTACGGTTTTATCGTGAACCAGCCTTGCGCGACTGCGCTAATTTCTCATGTGAAGGGAGATGTATGAAAAGATATCTGAAAATAGCACTTAAGAAATAACACATTTCATGAAGAGCTGATTATGGCTGCGTAAATCATTCGTACGTTTTTATTTGACTTGATATGAATAAAAGAACACTTACGGCTGATAGGTTCCTCTCCTGCAGCCACTACTAGAGAAAAAAAGAAAACATAGTATTGTTGCTTCCATATACATCGAGCCACACTTAGCCGGGTATCTCAGAAAATAATGTATGCGCAGCACTCAATGGATGTCTTGTTTTCACTACGCATCGAATAATGACAGAGTAAAGTTACAAAGAGAACAGAGGCTCCAGATTATGTTGTGAAAAGATTATCACACTACAATATTTCGCATAATACACTCTATAACAAATGGAAGGTATTTAATTTGCCTGGAAGTAGTTGGGCTTGAGTGGACCAGTAGTCACTTTCAACAGTTGAACAAGAATTTGTATGAGCGCGTCGCGCTATCCTGCATTTCAACGTTGGTCGATGGATGGGTTCATAAGGAGTGCAGCTTCTCCACGGCTATGTTTATATACACACGAGTTCCATTTTCAGTGTATTTAGAGAAACACATAAAGTTCAAACCGCTGCTTTACATACGAGGGATCATTGTAATATAACTGATTACACAATTAGTGGCTCTAAACTAAATCAAAACTAAATACAATTTCTTTGTCCGGCAACTAAATGCATAAGCAATTTAAGTAATAAATTGAATCCTACCAAAATAATGAATCGTCATTTTTAGAACTAGATTTTTTTTACAGTGAGAAGATTGCCAAACATATTATTGTCACGTACAATTTAAAAAAGAAATTTTAAGGAAACATTTAGTTTATCTAATACCCTATAGAAATCGATGTAATGCGAAGCAATTAGCAAGAAGCCGCATACATTGCATATTTGTCGTTGGTGCAAGTGAAGGCAATAAGATCATGTATCGTAATTCACGTTCATATGTTTTCCAAGCATACATGCATGTGCATTCTGGTAAATATCAAGAAACTAGAACGTTAATTCAGTTTTATGCAGTGCATGACTTCTCATTCTCATTCATGTTCATCCCGCGCTCATGTATGCCATACTAATCTGAGGACATTGCCTGGACGCTGTAGACGCATGCACTTCAATCTCCACGCGTTCTCGTACTTTCTGTAAAGTCCTTCCTCTACAAAACCATCTAAAGTTCGGAACGGACATGCGGAGGATGTAATACGGAATCAGTGTACACAAGCATAGTTGAAATCGGACAATTATTTCTGTTTTTACGTCTAGCATCAGCCAGAGGAGCGGTGGCGCTAACGACAGACTCTCGTCGCATGACAAAAAGCACAGCGTTGCCGCGCTTGGTGACGGTTTGGACTCAACTCTGGGAATAGGTGGTGCGTTGCTAAGTCATCTCGGAGAATAGGCGTTGCATAGTTTGAACGATTCTGCTCAATTGTTTGATGAATGTACCAGCTTTCACAAAATTCAGCATGCTGGCAAAGCGTTTTTCATTGGTAGCATAGTTATATCAGCTTTGACTAAATGTAGGAGGTTGGAGAAATCATGGCAGCTTTTCTGTTACTGGTTACGCATCATCGTGACCGCTGTATCTTGCCGAGAAAACTCTGACGATAGATGCGGAAAAACGCATACAAATAAGTATCACCTATCCGCAGAAATGTGCATGTGACATATCGCGCATAATGTAGCAAGCCAAGAGCAGACTTTTTACCCTAAGAACTCCAAATATCCCGGAAGCCTTTTTACAGACATACCTAAAGGGTGTAGAGGGACCCATGCAGCGGCAATTGTAGCACAGAAAAACATCTTTACGGTATCGATCGAAACGTGTTCTGCACGAGTGGCTGAGGCGGTGGCTATAGCCACAACCATATGTACAGCATAAACCTAAATAGAATCAGTAATGGTAATCACTAATTCACATTCAGCTTGCTGAATGTTTCTTCGAGTAGCTCTACCAAAACTAGTGTATAAAAATTTACATTAACTAATAACAGGACACCGTCGCAATATATTGTGTCTTGACGACGAAGGCGTGGAAGGCAACCAACCGAACGAAGGCCGGCCCGGATGTTTAACCCGTTTCCAATGCGCGTGCAATCTTTCTCGAACAAAGGGAGCAACGAAAACAATATGAATTTTTATATCAATAGATGGATAGGCGACAAAGCAGGAATTGAAGGCGCATGCTAACCAGTAGCTTTCCTAATTCCTACAACGTAAGTGAAATATATATTGAAAGATTAAGAGAAGCCTGTTCATGGTGTTCAGACACACCGGCACACAGCTACGTAACATGGAAGTGCACCAAGAGGCCCACCCAAATCCCTAATGCACACATTGTGGAGTAACCGCACATGTTTCACTGGCACTGGGAGACACAGCTTGTGAGCAAGGACAAACATAGGCAAATGGAATCGCCTGACAAGGCCCAGGGAGACCATAATGTTGGCACTTATTATTTTATAGATTTTTCGCCATATAAAAACCCTCTTCATACTAATTTTGGCATATATCCAGTTGACAAAACGGCTGTTAACACACAACGACATTATCTTGTGTATCATAGCGTACACGACACGCACATCATGGTTAGCATGTTAGGACCTGAATATTATATTTGACATGTAGTCATGTCACACAACACAAATTTTGATATTTATGAAGCTGGCGAAACGGCCGCGAGTGAAAAATCGGCATAGCAAATAAATCATGCCGTACATGAAATGCATTGAACGATTTTCATTAGAGGAAATGTAATTTTTGTGTTTTATGCAGACACATTGCGCAATACTAATTGTGCCCCATACCATCCCACTGAACTGGCTCCGATTGAGCGCTTGGCTGACGTGCAAGTCACGGTTTGCACGTTAAGACTCATCTGTTCGTATATCCTTTCATGATGCGGTACCATTTTGCGCATATATCAAGGCTGTCGATTCTGTTCATTACACGAGTGCAGTGATTTTCATGTGATGAGCTCTAATTGTTTTTTGTCATACAGTCATTTTATGCCATACCAGTTTAAGTAAATATGCCTTTAACGAAACGGCCCCAGGAGCAGAAAGTTGTAAAGAGATAGATAGATAGATATAGATAGATAGATAGATAGATAGATAGATAGATAGATAGATAGATAGATAGATAGATAGATAGATAGATAGATAGATAGATAGATGCGCTTATGCAAAATTATTAACAACCTAAACACACGTCCGTGATACTTCCAGACACACTCGCATCACTAGAATTTTCTATGGAACGCGTACCTATACGTGTCACCTGGCTTACTAAAGGTGATGATAAGCCATTAAAGCAATCGCTTTACCTATAGTGTCTATAATACTTTTGACATCTCAGCGTCTTTCATTTTTTTTCCAAGGCAACAAACCATCACGAGAACAAGCGCGTATTCATCAGGCGTGACTATTATTCACTGCCTACTAAAAGATCAGTAAAGTCATTTTAGGGAAAAAACACAAAAAGAACCCTCCTGTGACGAAATGTCAGAAAATTATACAAGAGTCTGACATTAAACGCACGGTGGAAAAAGTAAGAGGACGGTATAGCGGCAAATGTCTTATCGTGTATCAACGAAAATTATTAAAGGCGATACTAGGCGGGATTCAGCGAAAGCACGAAATCAATGCGCGTTCTCAGAAGCGGCCCGCGCACCAGCATCAAGGCACGGAGATGGTCGGAGAGAGCTTGTCACTAACAGTTTTTTTCATATTACTACAAGGTTTTAGAGAATCGTAATATTTTATTTCCCTGTTGCTAGGCAAGCGGCTTAGCTTCTGAACAATTACTAAAACCCCCCAAAATTTATTATGAAAACAAACTTACTTTCTATAGTGGACCATGGTACATTAAAGCACTTTGCCAATTAGTAACCATCACATTGACACTTACGAATATCATCAATTTGAAGAAAATAATGCTTACCTAGTCCAATTAGGAGACATAAGTTCCACAAAACTCTCATGACCTCCTCCGACAAGATGCCTCAAAGAAAGAAACGTCCAAATCGTATCAAAACTATAAATATATATTTTCAGCAAGTAATTGCTAATTTAAAAATAACTTTCCTGTGTTGTTTGGACGTGTGTTCAACCAAATTTTCACGAGAGACAGATCAACATCAAACTAATCTGATGTCTTGCTTCACTTCGCCTGACATTTCATCTGTAAAGTGCACAATGAAAAGATATTTGCGTTGAGTTCAAGTTACAAAGTGGGCAAATGGCACCCCCGCAGCTGTCCTTTTGACGCCTTTACCAGCTCCAAAAGCTAGCGTTAAGTTTCAGTGTCAAGTTTTGACTTTTGAGTTTCAAGCTAGCGTGAAGTTTCACTGGCGCAAAATGAAATTTGACGCAAACTAACATAGGACGTGCCAGCGTCTTCATCTTTTTTTTTATTTTATTGCACTGACGCGAGAGTTTTATTTGCGGATTGTGGGCATTCACAAAAAAGAGCTATAAACACAGAAACTTAGAACTTGATAGCAGTGTATTTGTATTTATAGATACAATGCACTACTGAATTTGAGCGTAATTTCACGACACCGTTCTTCATTGACTTTGCAGCACAAAACTCTTTCCATAGAAACAAGTCTGAATGAAGAGAGCATATTACAGCATTATTGAGGTTGCTCTTTAAACGTAAATGACATTTCTTCGCTGTTATCGGCGTAGAAAAAGCAGTTCCTGGTGTCTGCAGAAAATTTGTAAGTGCTTTCAAATAAGAAAACAACGCGAAAGGACAAGAAGCTAGCTAATTTTGAGGTGTTTCACAACTATTTTTACCCAGGCTAAAAAAATATGCTGAAGCATTCTTTGTCAAAACGACCAAATCCATGTTGTTTATTTTCGTTTAGAGCAAGTCATACAACTTTTTTGTCTGCCCGATTGCCTAATTATAAGTACAATTAACTAATTAACTTCTGAAAGAACAAAGCTAGCTACAGCTTATACAGAGAAACATTGTATACAAGTTGCGAAACGTCCCAGTAAACTGTTTATATCTGTATATTTTCTTCATTACTACTGTTGCCTTATAAACGTAATTACGCCATTAGTGTATAATTGGCCAATTATAAGTACGTTAACTTGCTAAAGGGTCCCTTCAACACTTCTTGAGCACGGTAAAACACGCTGCCGATCGGTAGTAGAGGGTTCCGACAACACGCGTGCCAAATAATTTAGCGCAGCGCATGGACTGGAATTCACAATAAATGATCAAAGTCAGCTAAAATTTACTTTCTCTTCTCTCGACAAATCACGCATTAAGCCGGAAAATCACTCGTACTAAGCCCATCTATCAGCCAGTGGCTGATTTGTACATGGCGTGCTTGGTCGTTACTGAGATTGCCGCGGAATGCTGTCACCTGTCCACGCGTGCGCGCGCGATCACACTGAATATACTATTCGAAGAAAAAATAAGAAAAAGTGCTCAAGGTCACAAAGCGCGCATGACGTTTTTTGTTTGCCCCTCCCATTCCTCTCTGCTTAGCTTTCAGCACTTTCGATAGGACAAGAAAAGAGAGAATGTGATTGCAGCGTGTAACAAATCTTTGTAACTCCGCTCGTACTGGACAAATTTTTAAAACATTTTTGACGTTCAATTTTTAAGGCAATACGCTTTTCCAGTGAATTATTTCATGCTTATTTAAAAAGTGTTTCAGGGCCCCTTTAACTTTTGAAAGAACAAAGCTAGTGGCAGCTTATACAGAGAAACCTTGTACACATGTTGCAAAACGTCCAAATAAAGTGTTTGTAACTCTAGAACTCCTTTATTATTAGTTTTTTACTCGTTATGGCGGACTATCGCCAATATTTCTTATCATGCGCACTTGCGCATGATAAAAAATATTTCTTATCATGCGCACTTGCGCACGGACGTCCGCTACAATTGCACAGCTTTCTAACATTCCACATACGAACGATGCACCTCTGTTGCGATGGTTGCTGACAGCAATCAGCAGACACATCGGTTATCGCTTGTGTTGCGGCTAGGAAAACGTGCATCAACACACCGCGACCACCATCGTTGCCGCCCTGGCGAGGCAGCGCATGCCACCAAATACCACCCGCGTTTTTTGTTTTTTTTTCCGCACGGATATTTTGGAGCACTCCGATACGATGTGCAAGCAGGTACGTCACGCGGACTTTGGTTTTATTTTGCCATTGTCTGCAATAAGCAGGAAACCACTGATCAACAACAGATACAAAGTTAGAAACTTCTATTAGACATCTTACCAATCGATACATAAGTCAGCCCTATAAATTTTTTTCAGTAAAACGTTTTGTTCGGCTACTTGGTACATCTTAATAGAAAGCTACACTATAGCAAACCAGCCTGGGAAAATTGACGAATGAAAAGAGCGGTCAATCTCTGTTCTTCCGTGTAGTCTTGCCAAGGTGGTCTAGTGGCTAAGGTACTCGGCTGCTGACCCGCAGGTCGCGAGATCGAATCCCGGCAGCCGCGGCTGTACTTCCGATGGAGGCGGGAATTCTGTAGGCCCGTGTGCTCAGATTTGGGTGTGCGTTAAACAACTGCAGGTGGTCGAAAGTTTTGGTGCCCCCAACTACGGTGTCTCTCATAATCATATGGTGGTTTTGGGACGTTAAACCCCACATATCTACCAATCAATCAACACAGGGCTCCAGAAATGCCGCAACCCTTTACTTGCGCGGAAACTAATACACTGACCTCGACCATTTTTGCAGCCATCAAAAATGTGGCTAACGCGGCCAGGGTTTGACCACTCGTATATTGGGCACCATAACAACATGAAAAACAGGGTGATTAACTCTTCAATTGTCAAAATAAACGTGAAAATGCAATCCATCAGTCACATCTTGAAAATCCAATGGTCTACTCAGTGTGCCCATTCAGAGTGTATGAAGTCCTAAATACTCAATAAACGCTTCAGTGCAGTCGCAAAGATTACAATGATTGGTAGATAAGACACTCGTTTACAGGTCATAGCTTTACCTACCCGCCCAATAATATTTCACAGTCACCACCACAAATGTAGGCATCATGATCGTCATGCACGTACAATTCAAATTCAAAATTGCTATCGACACGCGCATTTTCTTACGTCAATCAAGGCGCCTTAAAATATTAACAGCAGCGTTGAATGATATTTAGGTCGTGGTTACCGAATGGCGAAGCGTTTTGTTTTCTCGCAGTCACTGAAGAACTACAAGGAGATATTTTGGTGGCATTTGGCAATAAAGACGCAGCGGAAGACGTGAAGCTCTTATGACGTATACAAGCCGACTTCATGTTCGCTGCTTCTCCGATAGAAAAGTTAGAAATGCTGCACATCGAGAACATAACCTTTACACGGGTGAATCGTCGTAAGACGTTGATTTTGTCTACGGGAAGATTGACAAGTGTTTCATCCTGCCATTTATTTGGAAAGCCGTGTTTTTGAAGTTAGTGTATGCGTAGCCTGTTTTGCACAAACATCAGTTGATTGAAAGCAGTAACATTTTTTGAAAATATATCATGTATATTTGAAGTGAACTTGCAAGATGTAGTTCTCATAGCTGCAAAAAAAAAGATTGAGCGTACTGGTACAGGATTCTTTTGCTTAGAAATCAGCTGCTTGTTACTTTTCCCTTGTGCTATTTGGGAGAATCGGCATTCCTTACCATGCGCATTCACAGCATTTGAGCACAAGCAGTACACAACAGTTTTTTCTTTGTTAAATGCGGCATATATACCAGTACTGGTGACGCAAAATTGAGAAGTCAGCCTTGCTTATCGCCTTTTTTGCGCGGCGCATACCTCACCGCTTTTTTTATCACACAAACAATATTCTTGCGAATGTATTCACTACTTTAGAGTAGAAAAATAGTCCAGCACTCAAGATGGCAGCCGTTGTATATTTTTTGAACACAAAACAAGTCATCGTTCTCTTCTTCGCACCACCACGCATAAAGATAGCCGAAACTAGCCGCAGCCCCGCAACATTGACTTCCGGCGACAAAAGCACCAACCCGGCGCCTGTTAGCAAGTGTTGGACGAGAAGCACAGCTTCAGGCGAGTGACGCGTATGATGTAGGAAGATGGGAAGGGCACCCAAGCGTTAAGAGGAGCTATATCATAGGTAACATCAGTTACCTGCCGTAGCACACAGTAAGGTCCGGAATACTTAAGAAGAAGCTTTTCAGCCAGGCCAACATGCCGTGACGGAGTCTACAGAAGAACGATGGCGCCCGGAATAAAGTAGACGTTCCGATGGTGGCTGTCACAGCGATGTTTCTGGTGGAGCTGTGAGTCCGAAAGACGTCAACGAGCAATCTGACGGGCATTTTCAGCTGTGCTAACAGCGTGGCGAGCATATGCTGTGGACAGGTCGGCAGGGTGGGGTACAATCGTGTCGAACGGTCATGTCGGGTCTCTTCCATAGAAAATGTAACAGGGAGAATATCCAGGAGTGTCGTGACGTGAGCTATTGTAAGCGAAAGTGACAAAAGGTAGTGCAGTGTTCCAGTCGCGATGATCAGTCGACACATATACATTGCTAGCATGTCAGTGAGTGTACGATTCAAACGTTCTGTATGCGGTTCGTTTGAGAAATTGTAGGCGGTCGTAATCTTGTGCTTGGTTGCACAAGAACGAAGTAGGTCGTCGATTACTTTAGATAAGAGTAGCGGTAGTGGTCGGTGACCAGCTGACGAGAAGCGCCAGTATGTATGATGAGGTCTTGGATAAAAAAAAATTGGCAGATCGCACATACAATGTGAATCGATGATATGCGAAGCACGAATAAGAAAGGTTGATATGTCACTTTAAAATCAGCACAACGATACGAGGTGGACGTAAATGATGCCGTACATGGCTTCCATGTCATGATTATCATGTTTGGACGTGTCGTTTACATTCGTCATCTATTCACGTCACGTGATACAAAATTTATTATATGTAGATCTAGCGAAATGGCCGCGAGCACGCTATTAGCTTGGTATGTTGTGATGTTCCTACATGACACGAGTGTCAGGATTATCATGTTTGCACCAGTCATATATATCATCATCCATTGACCTCACGTAACACGAAATTTGTTATATGTGGAGCTTGCAAAACAGCGGCAAGCGCATCATGAAGG